AACAAAAACAGGGACACAAAAGATGTGTAGAAAGAAAACTATAAAACACTACCTCAAGAAACCATAAGAGATCTACATAAATGGAAGAACGTACCATGCTCATGGACAGGAAGATTGAACATTGTGAAAATGTCAGTTCTACCCAAAGCAATCTATACATTTAATGCAATCCCAGTCCAGATCCCATCAACATTCTTTAAGGATATGGAAATATCAATCACTAACTTTGTATGGAAGGGAAAGAGACCTCAGATAAGCAAAACATTATTGAAGAAGATGAATAAAATAGGAGGTCTCACACTGCCAGATCTCAAAACCCTACTATAAGCCACAGTAGTCAAAATTGCCTGGTTTGGTACAATGACAGCACATAGACCAATGGAATAGAATTGAGAACCCAGAAATAGATCCATCAACCTGTAGTCAGCTGATCTTTGACAAAGGGCAAAAATCTATTAATTGGTGAATAAAATGACTGTTTAATAAATGGTGTTGGCAAAACTGGATATCCATTTGCAGAAAAATAAAATGAGATCTGTACCTCACACCATACACAAAAACTAACTCCAGATGGATCAAAGATTATAAAGTTCCTCAAAAAAAAACCAGGGGCAAATTTAGAGCCCCTAACATACGGCATAAATAGACTATCAAGCAAAACCCAAAATGCACAAACAGCAAAAGAGAAACTAGATGAATGGGACCTTCTCAAAATTAAATTTGTATATGCTTCCAAAGACTTCTTGAAAAGAGTCAAAGGAGAACCTACAGATTGGGAAAAAATATTTGGCAATGACATATCTGACAAGGGACTTATCTCTAGAATTTATAGAAAATTCCAGTACCTCAATAACAAAAAGACAAAGAATCCATTTAAAAAATGGGCAGAAGACATGAATAGACACTTCACCAAGAAGAATATTCAAGCGGCCAACAAACATATGAAGAAGTGCTCTTGATCATTAGCCATTAGAGAGAAGCAAATCAAAACAAAGCAAAATACCATCTTGCCCCAGCACTAGTAGCAAAGTTCAACAAGAGAGTAAATAATAAATGCTGGTGAGGATGCTGGGAGATTGGGACTCTTCATCTATTGCTGGTGGGACTGTAAAATGATACAACCGTTGTTGAAAGCAGTATGGTGATTCCTTAAAAAGTTGGAATTAGAAATACCATGTGACCCAGCCATTCCATTACTAGGTATATATCCTAAAAAATTGAGAGCCAGGACAAGAGTAGATATATGCACACCCACTTTCATCGCAGCACTATTTACAATAGCAAAAAGATGGAAACAACCTAGGTGGACGTCAGCAGAAGAATGGATAACCAAACTCTGGTACATACACACAGTGGAACAGAATGCAACTCTAAAGAGGAATGTAGAATCTGCAAAACAGTGCATAATGTGGATGAACTTGGAGGACATTATGCTGAGTGAAAGAAGTCAATCACAGAAGGACAAATATTGTATTAGTCTGTTATTATAAAAAGTCAAGGAAAGGTTTATATATGGAAGGAAATTTTCTTTGTTGGTTACTAGGGGTGGGAGGGGAGGGGAGGCAGAGACAAGGATTGATTTGGGTGAAGAGAAGGGCAATATACCAAATGGAAGTGATCAACATGGTGGCATTAAGGAAGAGTAAGACATATAGAAGTGCATGGGAGGTACAGACAACAAAGATGAACCCTTTTGCACATACAGTATTGTGTTGTCAGTGAAGGCAAACATGGATATATGGGTGGATAGATTGGTAGACAGGGTGAACATTTAGGTATGTCTATGCAGGTGGGAGTGTGCCCATGACCTTGTATAGGGTTGGCAGACAATGTTTCTACAAGTGTATGTTCTGTAAGAACTCCCAGGTATGTAGTAGAGCTGATAAGGACAAGGTTGTGGTCACTTCTTGGGGACAGCCAGCTACCTAGATGGAGTGAGTAGTTCCACCTGTGGACTCAGGACTTGGGACATGTTGCAGGGGACATCAAGCTTGATTGGCATAACATACTACACAAAACATTGTTCCATATCCTACTTTGGCGAGTAGCAACTGGGTTCGTAAAAGCTTTCAAGAGGCCATCTAGATGCAGTGATGCATCTCTCCTCGTCTGGAGCAATGAAGAATGAAGAAAACCAAAGGTTCATGGAAACAATTAGTTCAAGTGACTGGTACACCATGGGATCCTTAGCCTATAAGACTATGAGACCAGAAGAACTAGATGGTGCCTGGCTACCACTGTCAACCCTTTGAAGGGGGATCTATGTAGGAGATCCTGTATAGAGTGGGAGAACAATGTGGAACAAAACTCATAATCGTTTGGAAAAAAAAAAAAAGAAAAGGAGATCAGTTTTGTTGGTCTGATAGAACTTGATGGAACCACTGAGACTATGGCCTCTAGCTGCCCTTCAGGTCTGGAATTGAACCCACTCCTGTGGCTTCCAGCCAAACAAAAGACAGGCATATGAGCTGAACTTTTATATAAGGTAGATACACTCCTTGGAGAAAATAGTCATGGCAGAATAGAAAGGCTGTGTATGCACAGAGAGATAGCTCAGGGGGCAGGAGTACATGGAGGGAAGAACACAGGGAGTTGTAACTATGGGGAGGAAGTGGAAGAGAGCTGTTGCATTGTGGGAAATTGTAGTCCATGTCATGAGACAAAGTTGCCATATGGAAAGTGAATTTGCTCTAGAAATCCATCCATTTCTTCCACTTTGACCCATACCACACACAAAAAAAGATGAAAACACCATAAAAAAAAGTAGTGACCTAAACTTTAATAAACCTTTTGTTTAAAATTTAATGGTATCGCCTGTGCCAGCATCAGCCCTGTGTCAGATTCTTACCTTATGTTGTATCATTTATTCCTCACAACTTTGTCTTCATTATTTAAATAAGGAAGCAGAAACTCGGAGACATTGAGTGACTTGCTGAAGTAGTGGGAAGGATTTCATACAAAGATCTGATTCCAAAACCTAGGACATTATATTGCAAATGCTGTTTTTGAAGTGTTCTTCAGAGTCTGCTTGTGTAGTGTGCTTTGTGTTCATTTTTATAGCTTATGAGGATTAAAATATATCAGTCTCAGTCCACAAAACAAATACAGTAAAATCAAACCTATAGATGACTGATTAATGGATTAAAATACGAAGTTATTTAAAGATAACTTTTATACTTTGCAGGCTATATTTATTATAGGCTATCATAGAAATAATAGATTTCTACTCAGTATTATTTTATTTATATCTTAGAATTTATACCAGAAAGTTTTTATTACAGGAATATCCCTGGTGTGAAAAGGTGCATCTTGTAGCTTCTGATACTGTCATTTTAATTTGGTACATTTTCATTATTTAAGATTTAAAATTGTAAAGATTTATGAAGATGTTTTTAATAATATGATGGGAAAAAGAATGGTACACACCCCAAAATCCTGGGTTTACACAGAGTTGTGAATACTGAAATTTTGCCCACTAAGAATATTAAAGAAAATTACATTTCAACTCCAGAAAATTACAAAGATATATCTTAAAATAAGGAGTAATTCTCTGTAACATATATACAGCTTTAACTTTATGAAAAGCATACTATATTTTCTTGCAAAGTTCATGCTTTTTATATTAAGGGATAACCTTTGTTAACATTATTAAAATATATATTGTGATTTAAAACTGCTACAGGAAGGGACCTTTGAGAATATTAGAATTTTAATCATGCTAAACTTAATTACAAAGTAATATCCCTTTACACTTAATGCCAGTTGATGTGTAATGAATATATTGTACTTAAATATACTTCTTTCTATACAGAGCTTTTGTGTTGCCTTGCACCAAGAACTCAAAGAGTACTACCGATTACTCTCAGTTTTACATTCCCAGGTAAATATCTTGTTTGAATTTTGATTTATTCCTGGTTTCAAGTGTTAACAAGTTAATTATATAAAGTATTTTAAGTTTCTTCGTACATTGCTTTTGAAAGATAAAAACCTGCTTGCTGGTACTTTTTGTAAGGTATGTATATTTACGAAGTGTGAGTCTTAGATCCAATTAATTACTTATATTTAGAGTTCTTTCTATTATTTAAGTAGGTCACACATAACATGAAAGAGCTATTATTCTCACAAAGGGGACCTTTTGCTTTAGTTTTAAAAGAATCATCACTTCCCCATATTCATTTAATATGAATTAAGACATGATGTGACATGTTTAAGGAGCTTTGGTGGCATAGTGCCTAAGGCATTTGACTGCTGACTAGAAGGTTGGCAGTTCAAACCCACCAGCCACTCCACTGAAGGAAGATGGGGCAGTCTACGTCCTTAAAAATTTACCACTTCGGAAACCCAGTGGAGGTCTCTCTGAATTGAGTCGATAGCAGTGAGTTTTTTTTTTTTTATGGTGACATAGTTAGTTATTTGTACTTATATTGTTTTTTAGCTACAACTGGAAGACGATCAGGGTGTAAATTTGGGACTTGAGAGTAGCTTAACACTTCGGCGCCTCCTGGTTTGGACCTATGATCCGAAAATAAGACTGAAGACTCTTGCAGCCTTGGTTGATCACTGTCAAGGTTATTTTTTATTTCTTGTGCCTTGTAGCTTTGCTTTATTTAGAGTGTTTCTTACGGAATATTACCTACTTCTATTTTTATACCCTTCTTTTTTGTATATTTTTGACAGCCATAAGTATATTGATATAATACAAATGAATTGATATAAACTTACAGGGAAAATAACCAGTTGCCAGTGTAGTCCAATATTTATACTTGGGGAAGCACAAGATTTCCTTGAACTGAAGAATGGAGGAGGGTTCAGCTTTTAAATATTTTTATCTTCTATGATCCTTGATATTACAAATTTTTTTAACGTAGAATCCTATATGATTTGCCTCTTAATAGCATGTTCTTGAGTTTCATTCTTTGCTTTCATTTCTCCTAAGATTATATATCTGTGTTTACCATATATATGTGTGTTGTGTGTGTGTATGTGTTAAAAATTCCCATTTTTGCATGTCTAGTTTATATATAAGGAGCCCTGATGGTGAAGTGGTTAAAATGCTAGGCTGCTAATCAGGAGGTCAGTGGATCAAAACCACCACCTGCTCCATGAGAGAAAGGTGGGGCAGTCTGCTTCTGTGAAGATCTACAGCCTTGGAAACTATGAGGCAGTTTTACTCAGTGGCACTGGGTTTGGTGTTTGGTTTTTAGCTTACATCTCCTCTGAGCTTTAGGACTGTATTTCTAGTTGTCTTCTGAACATTTTTTCTCACTGTATTATGCAGGCTTTGAGCTGGTTCAAACCAGTTCAGTTCAAACCAGTGGCCAAAGTAGTGAAATCAGAACAAACTTGAATTTGTAAATTGTGGGTGTATCAGACTGATAACCAAAACCAAAACCCATTGCCATTGAGTTACTTGTGACTCATAGCAACCAAAATAGGAAAAATTCCAAGATTGCAACCTTGGAACAGGAGACTCAGAAGAGATGTAATAAGCCCATTCAGGGACCTGATACAGAGACTGGATTGTTGACTAGGACTGTGGAGAGCAACACACAGTCAAAGCAGTGTGCTCAGCCACCATCTTTGAGCAGGGCACTGTTGTTTCCAACCCTGTTTGTCAAGAGATTGGGTGCTAGGCAACATGCATGGTGACCTTGCTCCCTGAGAGAGAGATTAAGTTTTTAGTAGGGTGTTGACTTGTAATTTTTCACATTCTACAGATTTGGTTCCTTTACAGTTTTGCTTTGTTGCCCATGACTGAACTGGGAAGAACTAATTTGAAGCTCTCATGTTATGTTGACCCAGAATCTCTGTCTTTTTTATCCCATCTGTAACACTGGGATACTAATTGACCCATAGAATTGTTATGAGGACTAAATGAGATGTGAAAAGCAAGTAGTCTGATACATAGTGAGAGCTGAATAAGTGTTTGCTGCTATCGTTCTACTGGATGATTCACAAGGTCTTGACATTCAGCATATCTAAAACTAAGTTCAGCATCATGCCAACCATGTCATGCCTTTTCTCATCTCCTGAAACTTCCCCTCAAAAAAGAAATAGTCAAGCATAATAAATAAACATTTACCTCTTCTCTAGTTACTGACACTCTTCCATAATTGGATTCCTGCCAGACTCTGTTATTTTCCTCTGAGCTCCCCCATCTCTTTGAATATCAAGTCAGTCCCTGGAGTCCTATTACTTCTAACTCCTTCATGTCTCAACTCTCCGCCTCTCCCTCCAACACTTTTAATCTATATACATTTTATATCTTGCCCTTATGTACTGTTTTAATAACCTTCTAACTAATTTCTCTGACTTCAGTTTTACCTACCTCTGCTTTTTTTTAAAATCCCTTCACCCATATATAACTTATCTCTTAATTATCCATCTATTTTCCCTCCCTTCACCACCTCTATTTTTGTCACATAAGCCAGAGGAATCTTATTAAAATCAGATCATGTCAATCCTTTGCTTAAAATTTAGTATAAAATCATGAATTCTTAGCATAATATAAGAAGCTTTTCATGTGCTTGTATTTTTATACCTGATTTTTGCTACTCCCAATATTTCATACTGAATTATTTCTTCCAGAAGATAGAGGACTAGTATTCATAGAGAGCAGTGTTTTCAAACTATAGGTTGCAACTCATTAGTGGAATGTGAAATCATGTATATGAATTGAGATCAGCATATTATATCAAAAAACAACAAAAAAAGTGAAATAATTAGAAAATACTGAAAAATTACTTGTTTCATAAAGGTTTATTTTGTGTTTGTATACTAGATTCCTATATAAAATAAGAAACTTAATGTGTCTCAATCAAAAATGATGAGATGAAAAACACAAAAGCCAAACTCACTGCCATAGAGTTGATTCTGACTCATGGTGACCCTATAGCAACCCTGTAGGATAATGAGCTGCCCCATAGGGTTTGCAAGGCTGTAAATCTTGACGTAAGTAAACTGCCTAATCTTTCTCCTGTGGAGTGGCTGGTGGGTTTGAACTAATGATATTTTGGTTAGCAGCTGAATGCCTAAACCACTGAGTCATGAGAGCTTTTTAAAAATGGTGAAAAACCATGTTCATTGGAGATCATAGAGTGATTAAGATTTTTTTGCTACTGAATAGCACCTTACTGGTAATGAACAGAGAAGTGACTTACTCAGATTCATGTCAAGCCACTGTTAGAATCGTAATCTCTTCAATCCAAATCTATTGCATATTTACTATTGCTTCTTGGTCCCAAAAATGGAATTAACTATTAAGAAAACAAACTTTATCTTGAATATATTCTCAGATTTGGTTAGTGGTAAGTTATTAGTTTAGATTGTAAGTTTAAATTTGTAGATTTTCATCTATTCTTTTCCCTTTCCCCAGGAAGGAAAGGTGGTGAACTAGCATCAGCTGTCCATGCTTATACAAAAACAGGAGATCCGTATATGAGATCTCTAGTACAGAATATTCTCAGCTTGGTATCTCATCCTGTTCTGACTTTTCTTTACCGTTGGATATATGATGGAGAGCTAGAAGACACATACCATGAAGTAAGTAATAATACTCTCTATATTTTTAGACTTCAGTTAAAAATGATGGGAACTTCAATTTTTCTCTTTTGATTTTTCAGTTATTCATTGCTCTATCTGTTAATAGAATACTATCATAGTTCATTTAAATGGCATGCCTATTTTCCACAGTACTTTGAAAGCCACTTATCTAATTTAATAGCAGAGCCATCTTTGGTTAGTAGAAAATGATATCTCAGTTTTAATCGTAAGAAACTGAGGCTCAGCAAGGTCAAGTCCCATGTCCAAATTTACTGGCAAGTTGATGGGAAAACAAGGTCTAGGTCTGCTGAGTGTTAGTACAGTTTTCTTTATAGTACGGTATTATGTGTTACATTGATTTGCATGATTACTTTAAAAACTTAATTGGATTAACTATGGTGCTAAAATTTTAAAGAAAGCAGTTATTTGTGTATATATGTACTTCTGAAATATAGTCAGTTGTGCTTTATAGTATATGTGTTTCTAAAAATCACTGCTACACAAAATCACATAATATAATCTATAGGGTTTATGGCAAAAAATAAGGTTGGGACATCATACTCAGCAACTTCAGCAGTGAAATGAAAAAATTGGAAAGATAGGGATCTAATAAAAGTAGTAGCACAGTTTTATGCATATTAAAATGTTAAAAAACACATAAATACTATAATATGGTACTTTACCTTGAAGAAGTCTGATGCTTGCTTTTGGAAACGACCTTTGGAAGGATTGTGGCTTGTGAGTTACTATGACGTGGTGGAAGGACAGTAATTTTAAATAGGACAAAAGGGTATAACACCAGATGTGGGTGGACATGGCTGATAACACACATGATGAATTGAGGTTGCTGGTAGATTTTGAGGATTGGAGCTGTGCTTGTGTTTGTTGTATTCCTAAGATGCTTGGTCCAGCAGGGTATAGTTTCACCTAGTTTGTTTCATAGATGAAATCATACCTAAGCAAGCATGAAATCTGTGTTAAGATAATATTGTTTCTTAATATATTAATTGTACTAAAACAAATTAATGTTGTTAAAATTAGTATTGTAGCTGAACTAACATATATGATATAGTTATATTAATTATTTTTTATTTTTTAAAATTTTTATTGTGATTTGGGTGAAAGTCTACAGAGAAAATTTATTTCACATACAGCACTTTATAAACATTTTGTGTCATGGCATTGACTGCAGTTTCACACAATGTAACAGCTCTCTTTCCACTTCCTCCCCATAGTTACCTCTTCCCTGTGTCCTTCCCTCCCATGCACTCCTGCACCTGAGCTGTCTCCCTGTGCATACACAGCCCTTCTGTTCTGCCATGATTGATCTCTACAAGGAGTGTATCTACCTGATGTAAATGTTCACCTCATATGCCTGTCTTTTATTTGGCTGGAAACCACAGGAGTGAGTTTAATTCCAGACCTGAAGGACAGCTAGGGGCCATAGTCTCAGGAGTTTCACCAGGCTTTATCAGATCAGCAAGCCTAGTCTTTTATTTTTTTATAATTTTGAGTTTTGTTCCACATTGTTCTCCCACTCTATAAAGGATCTCCTACAGAGATCTTCCTCCAAGTGATTGACAGTGGTAGCTGGGCACTATCTAGTTCTTCTGGTCTCATGGTCATACAGGCTGAGAATCACATGGTGTACCAGTCCCTTGGATGAATAGTTTCTTTGTGTCTTTGGTTTTCCTCATTCTTCTCTGCTCTGGATGAGGAGAGACCCATCATTGCATCTACATGGCTGCTTGAAAGCTTTTAAGACCCTAGTCGCTACTCACCAAATTAGGATACAAAACAATGTTTTTGTGTAGTATGTTATGCCAATTGAGTTTGATGTCCCCTGGGACCAGGGTCCTGAGCCCACAGGTTCGACTACTCATTCCCTTTGGGTAGCTCGCTGTGGCTAAGAAGTCACCACAACCTTGCCCCTTGTTAGCTCTACTATATACCTGGACATTCTTACAGAACATACAAATACGGTTGTAGAAACATCCTCCGCCAACCCTATACAGGTCATGGGCACATGAACCCCTGCCTAGACTTACCTGACCATGCAACCTGTCCACCCACCTATGCACTTGTAGATCAGTGTTTGCCTTCACTGACAACGCAGTACTGTATGTGCAAATGAGTTCATCTTTGTTGTCTGTATCTCCCATGTACCTCTCTATGTCTTCCTGAGTTCACTTGTTGATAACTCATATTTGGTGCATTGCCCTTCTCTTCACCCAAATCAATGTTGTTGTTGTTATGTGCTGTTGAGTCGGACCTGATTCATAGAGACCCCTCTTGGGTTTCCGAGGCGGTATCACTATGGAAGTAGATTGCCCAGCCTTCCTTCCGAGGAGTGGCTGGTGGTTTTGAACCTCCAGCCTTCTGGTTAGCAGTCAAGTGCCTTAGGCACTACACTACCAGAGCTCCTACCCAAATCAATACTTGTCTATAACTATCTAGCTGTGTTCCCTCCCCTCCTCTTTCACCCCTAGTAACCAGCAAAGAAAGTTTTGTTCCAGGATATAAACATATCCTTGACTTTTCACAGTATGTAATGTGAAATACACTATATTGTGTCTTTTGAAATAGATAAATGGCATCACATTATCTGTATATCATTATGTGTGTGTGTGTGTGTGTGTGTGTATAAATTTACATGATTAACGTATAAACTTTGTTGCTCTTTCCATGACCAATATATATTTAGTTTTACTAATTATTACTACATATTAGTTCACTGTATACATTTTTTATTTAGTTATTCTATTGATGGAAAAGGAGCTCTGGTAGCATAGTGCCTAAGGCACTTGACTGCTAACCAGAAGGCTGGCGGTTCAAAACCCACCAGCCACTCCTCGGAAGGAAGGTTGGGCAATCCTACTTCCGTAGTGATACTGCCTCGGAAACCCAAGGAGGGGTCGCTATGAGTCGGGGCCGACTCGATGGCAAAAAACAACAACAACAACATTGATGGAAAATTAGTACTTTCTAGTTTTTAGCTTTATTAAATGAACATCATTTTATGTGCTTCTTTGTATATATCCCTGTATATATTTATCTAATCCTGTAAGGTAGGTACTGGGCACTATAACTGTCGAATAGGGAATGCGTACTATAAATTCTAATACTGCCACTTTGAACTGGCTGTTCCAGTTTAGTGTTACCAAGGCTTCATACTTCCTAACTTTCATAAAATGCTTTTGATCTAATAATGTATGAATACCATATCTCACTGTGGTATTTATTTGCCCTGGTTACTAGTGAGACTGAATAGCTTTTCATGTTTATTGGTTATTTTTATTTATTCTATTAATTGGGTGCTCATATTCTTTTCTCTTTCTTTGTATATATGTGGATTTGTATGTCTTGTGAAAATTGGAACATAGCTTAGCTTTATATATTTGGATACCTTGTGCTGTAATTATAATTTTTTTCTTTTAATTATTCTGTTGATAGTTTATTTTGTCATATTTTTAGACTTATAGAAGAGTGATAAGAATAGTATAAAGAATTACAGTATAGTAACGAGTGAGAGTTCCCAAAAATGTTAGTTTTACCTCATTTTATTGTGTGCTAAGTGCTAGTAAATTCCCATATGTACTTGAGTCTTTTTTTTTTCTGTATGATTTTTGTTTTTCATGTCTCAATGTTATTTAAATTACAACTTTATGTATGTGCTGATACCTGGTAGAATGAGTCCTTACCCTTTGATCTTTTCAGTTATCCTTGCTAATTTTTCACATTTATACTTAAGAATTTAGAATTAATTGTCAGTTATGCTAAAATTTCTTTTGGAATGTTTATAGGATTGCATATTTAATTTATAGAGTAAGAAGAAGTGATTTATGCTTTCTGTGGTTTTTTTTTTAATCACTTCTTCTTAATTTATAAGTTTTATGCTTCCTAGAAAGATGAGGCAGTCTACTTCTGTAAAGATTTGTAGCCTTGGAAGCCCAGTAGGTGTAGCTATGAGTCAGAATCAACTTGATGATAGTGAGTTTGTTTTTTTGAATTTATGTTCCTTGTGTATAAATGTACTTCTGAAATACATGCTCTGGTGGCATTCGGCTGCTAACCGAAAGATCAGTGGTTTGAACCCCTAAGCCATTCTGAGGGAGAAAGATGAGGCATTCTGCTTCTGTAAAGATTTACAACCTTGGAAACCCTGTGGTGGGGATATTCCAGTCTGTGTTAAAGGGTCATTACGAATCAGAATTGACTCAATAGCTTTTAGGTTCTTTTTTTTTTTTTTTTATGTTCCTTTTGCTAAATTAATTTTTTTTTTTTTTAAATATATGAATTGAAATCTTGGAAAGGTGTGCTATGTTTTCATCTTATTAATGCGTACCTTAAGTTTTTCAAAGTTTTCTTAAACTTGTATTTTTTTTTCTAAATGTCAAATCAAAAGTAAACCAGTTTCTGTCTTTAAACCACTTCTCCTCAATTACGAGGAGTAATCTTACACCTCTTCTGGATTCTGCCCTGTCAGGCAGTTAATCTCTCTATCTTTTATTTACATGTAGATTATTTTATCATTTTTAATTTTTATATACAATATTTAAAAGTTGCTTACTATTTTAAGAATTTTAAAAGTTTACTTTGCCTTATATCTTATATCTCTGTGCTTTAATATTTGGTTTTTATTATTACTTAACACCAAACTCATTAATAATGCTTTTTATTGAGATATGTGTATGGAAAAGTATATAAATTATAGATTATCACTTGATGATTTATTACAGAATGAGCTGACATTCAAGTCAGTAAATAAAATTACCAGCACACTTAACATGCATCCTTCCAGTCATTGCTTTCTTTCTTGTCCCACATCAATGTAAACACTATCCTCACTTCTGATACCATTGTTTTGTCTGTTTTAAATTTTACATACATGAAACCATAGAGTTTGTATGTGTTAAAATATTTTTACATGTCATCTGTAGGGAAGGATACTTTGTATTCATTATAGCTAAGTTGAAATTTATATTTTTGTGAACTGTTTC